TGTGTGTATTACAGCATTCCTCTCTGATGGCTTGATCAGCTCTTGTGATGCAATTGAGAGAGCTGTCTTTCTCTTGCTCGTTAACACACACACACACACACACACACACAAGACACACACCACACACACACACCACACACACACACACAACCACACACACACACGCACACACACACACAAGCACGCACACACTCAATTTAGAGACTGCCTTTGATCTCCACTCCAGTCAATTCAACCACGACACATATCCTCACTCTCCAACACAAGCACACACACACACAGTCCAAAGAACCTGCCCACCAAACTATTTAGTTTCATTAGGGGCAGATTCTTCAAAAAGAAGAGAGAGAGCGAGAGAAAGGGAGGGGGTTGAAGGAAGAGGAAAAAGAAAAGAGAGAAAAAAAGGGAGAGCTAGGAGAAGAAAGGGACGGCAGCCACATTAAAATGAAACCTGGAGAAAAACTATTACTGCTGGGAGAAAGTTGAAAAGGAGAGAGGACAGGAGGAGGAAGGGGGAGTAAAGGACAGTGTGGACAAAAAAGGAGAGTGCAAAAGGCCATATTTGCATTTTCAAAATAGAAATTTTTTCAATATTTGCTGCAAAGACAGCCCTTCACTAGTGGCCTGTTCAACGGGCAAACCCAAGTGAAGAAAACTGTGGCTTAAAGCTTCCTAAAAAATCCTTTAATTAGAGTATAAGTATTTTAGAGTTGTAAGATTATCAAATGATGACAGGATTGTCAGATTATATGCATATATTGTAAATGTAAAGAAAGGGGAGTAAGTACAATAACAGTACTCTGGTATTTGTATTACAAAATGCTTTCTCAGTTGCAATTTGAGCTAAAGATGTGAGCTTTTGGATTATGACGCTCGAATTCGGCAATAATAATGAGAACATGCCACTGTTCTCAAACATAAACACATGTGTCCTGGATGCGCCAGGCAAGTTCACCTTCACCTTTCTACTTGTTTGGCAATCAGGACTAACAGGTAGCCTGGTAAAACGTGGATATATTTTTTTATAATCATCTGTATGGAATACAGTACAATCAGAATTACTCAGACACATTGTCTTTTTGAATGCCAAGGTTCAGCCAGAGGGCTTTGTTTTGGCCACCAGTGACACAAATGAAAGAAAGAAAGAGTGAATGCACATAGAGGTGAAAATGAGGACATGAATGCAGTCAAGTCAGGATCAAAGGGCAGACAGCAGATGGGAGTAGATGACAACACCCACAGGTCACAACAGCAGAGACCCAGGAGTCCCCTCTTCCTCTGGAAGCAGTGGAGGAAAAGGAGGAGTGGGAGGAGGAGGAGGTGGTTGGGGTTCTGGTCGGCAAAAATCAAACGGGACCCAATTATAGGAATCACAACGAGTCAGTGAGCAGGGAAACTCTCTTACCTGGAAAACACCAAGGCATTTGCGTGCACTCTTGAACGCATTCCACAAGCACACACACTCACGCTCTCAAAATAATGCTAAAGTGCCCAGGTGCTATATACTTGCACACACGTATTTTTGCTTTACAGTTTTGCAAAGACACACCCACACAGGAGCATATGCTTGTGTGACCACATGCACACAAACACGCATACATACACTTCTTCCAAACCTAGTGTGAATCCTGATAATTAGCCTGGCCAGGCCGGTGTGAAATTACTGTTCTCATCTGCTAATGGATGAGAAGACCTGAAGCGAATAGACACACACGCACACTCGCACACACACACCTCCATTAAAATAATAACAGTGGGAAAGACTAAAAGAGCAAAAGAAAGACAAACAAAAATTGGGATTTCTGCAATAAGGATAAAATGAGAGAAAGTAAATATTTTTAGGAAAGCTTGTTACTTTCAGGCTGCTATGTGGGTAGTGGATGGTGAGATTACAAGACATCTGCACTGTGACTGCTGATATGTTATGAAGGCCAAGTCAAGACAAGATGGAGAGAACAGGAAGATGAGATGTGGCCGAAAAACAGAGAAAAGACAGTGAGAAAGAAAGAAAAGCATAAAAGAACGGCGAGTGAAAAAATGGGGTAAAACCTAGATGGACATGAAAAGAGGGACATAGTGAGAGAGAGAAAAAGTGACTGAGAAAACAGGGAGGGAGAGAAAGAGAGAAAACTGAACCTGTGACCTTAGATAAAAGAACCAGTCACTGTAGGCTACAATTAGGGATGGCAGGAGGGAGAGCATAGGTCAAGAGAAACAGGGCTACACACACACACACACACAGTTCTATTCATGTTGATGGTCATGAGTCAATGTGTATATATTTTTGATTTATCAAATTTAGAATTTAGAGTGAGCTGCAATGACTGCAACAGTATAATAAAGCCTCAGCTCTTAAAATCACCAATATGTAAAAAAAGCAAAGACTATAGCTACAAAGCCCTGATGGTATTCCTGTAACAATATAAACACAATGTGACAAAAAGGAGAAAAGGACAAACAGTAGTATTTATTTGCTTCTCCTTATTAATCTGCATCTGTTGCATCTTCATTCCAGAGATTTTTTATTAAAGTTAAAACACAACTGCAAAGTGCATTATTTTCTCTGAGGTATGGCATACTATGGATGAATGCACATGAGACTTTACATTAGAGAAAAGTGTAAGGATTATTGATGAGAACAAGCACAGGTGTATCATGGGAGGGAGGGATTATTGTTATTATATGAAGTACTTCTTACAAAGAAAAATTAACAGTAAGCACTCACTGCTCTGACCCATGTTTCCTTTTAACGAAGAGCTTTCTCTGGACAGACTGCTCACTTACTGCAGTTCAGGAGAGTTTTGGAGGAAAAGTTTTGTATTTAATGTGACATTCTGATTCACCTTTTCCTGCGGGAAAAGAGGATTTCCCACCAGTGATCATACCTGACTTACCTGAAGAATGATTGATTAGTTATTTAAGCAATACAGAGTATTGTACTGTGCATAAATATCACAACTTCTCCAGCCATGAGGTAGACTTGGTTTTATTTAATAGAGATACGTATCTCAAACTAACTGATCTGTCATTTGTGCTTTCAATGCTAAACCCCCAAAACAGCTAATGTAGCCCCCTCCTCTCCCTCTGCCCAAATCATTCTGTTGCCCCCACATTAGCCACTTCCCTGGAAGAATGAAGCCTGCTTTAATTGAATTAAATTATACCTTATGCATGCTAAACCACAAAGCACCTACTTAGACGGATGGAGAGTTAAATGGTAAAGGCTTGGGCCTCTCCAGCTGATAACATGGACACACACACACACCCATACACGCTAATCAAAACAAGACATCAAGTAATCTAATCTGAATCACTAACAATTATCAGCACACTGGCCTCAAGGCCAGTCGTATTCCTTTGATCAATGTTTTCTATTAAAAAAAGTGTAAACAATTCAATATCTCCCTCTCGCCCCTCCTCCTTTCCCTCCTTTCCTTATGCATGGGAGCAGTGAGTGTGTGTGTGTGTGTGTGTGTGTGTGTGTGAGGGTTATTAACCAATTGTCCTTGGAAATGAGTAAGGAAATCAGGAGGACAGGGAGAGAGAAAGAGCGGAGGGTTGGGTCTGGCTACTTTAAGGAGCTAATCTAAGTGAAGTCAGCCATCTTGCCGCACAACAAGGGACAGAAGAGGACCTTTTTTTTGTCGCTAAGGAAATACTTCGGCACTGCAACAGCTTTGAAAAACCCTTTTAATTTGCTTTCTTCCTCTGAAGACTTTTAACGCCACCAGTCCTTGGAAGTTCCTCATTTATTTTCTCAGATTATGCTGAAATGGTTATTCCTGTGGCCTGCACACAGACATTAACACACACATTTGCATGTCTACACACAGACAAACACTGACAACACACTTACATACGTACATAAGCACGCACACACAAACACACACTCTCGAAGAAACATCTAATTCAAGGGCATATATCTCTTTAAGGATTCAGGCAGCAAATGCAGGGGCATGCGGCTGCTGCCTTTTAGATATTTCATTACCAAAGGGTATTTATTTCATTTTACCCTCAAATCCGTTGTCGCCACAATTCTCACAAGACCATATTTTTTTCTTACCCCCCCCCCCTTCCTTTCTCAGAAACATTTGGAAACGTCACTGAGGATTTGACCACAGTGCTTTCGCGTGGTAACTCCTGGTACATCAGTGTGCCCCCCTCCCTTCCAGTATATTATGTTCAGTGGAGCGTGCTCGGTTCAGAGCTGGCAATTTCACTCACGTCTTCTCTAGTCTAGTTTGCTTCGGTACAGCGATTCTCACCCCCCTTTACCGTGAATGTACTTTTGCTGACAGGTGTTTGTGTACAACATTTACTCAGTGTTCGGGGGAAATTGAGGGGGCAGCAAATTTGGTCGGGCTGTCATAAAAATTGTGCAGAGTCAAGATGACCAAGGAGAGACACTGAAAGAGAGAGCAAGAAATGCTTATAGAGAGAAGAGGGAGCGAGGGAGTCCATCCACACTTCAGTTTTTCATACTGACATGTTCAGGTTGTGACGTTCAGCAGCCCATAAGAGAGTCTGAGCAGAAGTTAATAAGGAAAAGTCTACTCTCCTTCTCAAAGCCTTTTCATAAAGTGTTCAACAAAGTGGACCGCCAGAGGATGAGACAGTTTGGACAGGCTTTTCCAGCATGTTGAAAGTGTAGTGAGAACTGTGGAAGTGACATTAGGTAGCTGAAGAGGCTTGTGGTCACTCTATTAGCTGTTGCGGCACACTGAGATGATGCTGTACAACACTTGAGTGCAGGGAGCAAAGAGGCAGGGGCAGACAACGGCAAGTCAGAGTCAGGACAGCCTTTACTTACTACACAAGACGTCAGAGAAGCTGCCCCCTTCCTCAGACACCTGAAGACCCAAACTGAGCCTTCTTTAGCTGTGATTCTGATCTGGTTTACATCTTAAAATGACGACAGAATTAACCCCCTGATAGTATCAGAGTTGACAACAGTTTCATACTCAGGAAAGTCCATGCATACACACACCACATTGACTTACATCATTGACGTTTGCGGCCCTGTTTGGTGCATTGGTGGCTGAGTTGGGGACGTTCTTGTTGCCGGCCTTCATTGCAGCGTCTCTGCGGGCCTGCTCCAGGAGGAGTCTGGCTCTCTCTTTCAGCTCCTCCTGACGAGACAGCACCCTCTGTGTGCAACGACAGAGAGTGAGTGTGAAGAATAAAACAACGCTAATTACTATAACAAGGATGCGTACAGTTAATTTCGAATAAAACTCATAAATAAGGCGTCCTTTTCCTCATTTTACTCACCTTCTCAGCAGGTGGACTTGATACAGGGGCAGGTGTTTGCTCCTTTGAAAGAGAAAATACAACTTTAACTACTGGTGCATAGCCAAATACCGAAATTTAAGAACAGGTTTTAAAAAGAGTGAAACAAATGAATATTGAACACATGACATTTTTACCAAGATTAGCAAGCTTTCACACAAACAGCTTTCACATTTCATCCTTGAGCAGTGTGCTGGTGGAGGTAGAATAGAATTAAGACAAGCGACTCCAAATGTAGGAGCAGGATATAAAGTATCTCCCATAATATGCAGGGCCTGCACTTTGGCATTATGGGGCCATCCTACAGCTGGGCTCAAAGCCCTGTCTGGGTCCAGTGGTGTGGAGAGCATGACGGCTTTGACAAGAAAGCAAAACACACACCTAGCTTAGAATTTTATCTGCAGGGTAATCCTGGCTGTATTATAAGGAGGTGCAAACAGGGCAAAGAGAGCTTTTACGTTTGGCTTAGACAGGAACATTACAACCAAGCTGTTTATAACACTGAAACATGTTTATCCTTTCAGCAAGTCAAATCTGGCCTGGGTGCAGGCGAGGATGCATCCCGCTAACTAGATAACAGCAGATCAAAATGGGGTGTCATAGCTGTCATAACCCCCCTGCTGCCCCGTGACCTTTCGACTTGTAAACAGGAAGCGGTAATCTGGGGTTAACCAACACAGGCAGCAATGTATTCGAGGTGTGTTTGTGTGTGTGACTGTGTGCGCACACGCATACAGGTGCGTGTCAGTGGGTGTGTGAGGCGAGATGAGGTGTGCTCTGCGCAAAGCGTCGCCACGCCTGAGCAGTCACGGCGCCAACTGCCATCAACTGAAGGGATGAGAAATATAATGAAAAATATAATGAAATGTCAAAGCAGGGGGTTCTCCTGGCTGCCTTCTATAGTCGCCACATGTTAAGGGCCCGGCCTCGGCGAGTCTGGGTCTCGGCAACGAGACAGGCAACGACAACATCTAATGCAGAACGGGAGAATTTCGGTACGGTCATCTCTGCAATGGCATCAATGAGGTTGGGATTTGAAGCTTAGCGAGGTGCCAGGAGGGAATGAATGTTCACCGCATCCTCTGTCTTATGACTGATGTAGCTGTGAAAGTTTCAATCAAAGCCAGGGTGCAAGGATAAAAACCTTTTAGGGGGCCAGGCAGGTATCTGCAAGTAAACGCTGTCAGAATCTTAATACCTGACTTAAGTAGCAGGATGTGAATTAGTCTGCATCATACAAATTGATCCAGAGGTTGTTTAAGGTTCAGAGTTTCTAATTAGCTGTTAGATGGTTTAATGTATCTCTTACTGACTCTTAAAGGGCATGTTTAACTGTATTCAAAACAAAGGTTGAACAGAGAAAATTCCTGTTTCTACATCCCTGCAATTAGGGGCCTGCATGTGCTGCTATAAATATCTTTTACTGAAACTGAGTTAATTCATCAAACATAAAGATAACAATAACTACAATAACAAACAATAAACAACAGGATTCCTCTTGTGTGTTTACCTGTTTGGGAGGCATGTCTGTGTGGTTGACTGGAGGGGAGCCGATGTCTGAGGTGGGCTCAGACTCCGAATGGCGCAGGCTGGCCCTCTTCTTCTTTATGAGGTCTGCATCCCTGTTATAGGAGAAGCCCAGTTTCTGGTGGGGTGGGGAGGAGGCCCCTCTCCTGGTGGGGGACCCTGGTTCTGTGGCTCCCTCCCTTCCTTCCTCTCCCACCTCATTCTTCTGCTGTCTTTCCTTCTCCATCTCTCTCTCCACTCGCTGTGGTAACTCGCTAAGGTCTAAAGTGTTGGCTTTGAGCAGATTCCCCCTGTCCTCAGAGTTTGATGGTGTCACGTGGGTCGAGTCTGTTGCTGAGGCGGCTAATGCTGTGCGTGGTGATGGGACAGGTGGGGACGACTGTAAAGGCCCTGCTGCTGGCAAGCTGACCGCTCCTACTTCGGTCTTCCAACCCGGCTCCATCACCTCTTCCTCAGCAGCTTTAGTGCCATTAGATTCACCGCCAGATGCAACAGGCTGAGCGTTACCCTGGCGGTGCTGCACGTCATTAAGTTCAGCATAGAACTTGTCCTGGTCTATGGAGGCATTTGTATCGGTTTCAAAGTCGCCCACCTTGTACGTGCTGCGACTGCTGTTGGCCTCTATCTGCACCACGTTGAGTTCCTCCCCGGAGAAGTGGGCCCGGATCTGGTACAGGTAGGTCATTACTGTTAGCTTGTCAGGAATAGCCAGCAGCACCATGTCTGATGGTTCCAGGAGACGGGAGATACCCAGGCTCGCAAAGCCATCGTATGCCTGCCAAAAAAAGATACATAAGTAAACAAACTTGCAATTGCAGATTCATGCAACGCCACAGAATCACTGTCGTATTAAAAGTAGTGCCTACCAGCAAAATTGAGGAAAAACAGAGTTTATTGTTTAAAAAAAAAAGGTTGAATAAAGAAGAGAGTATGCCACATTACAACAAGGGTTGAGAGGGATGGAAGGGTGACAATGATTGATGAGATAGGAGAAGTCTGATTTCTTCTTCAGACATAGGTCGTATTTGGTGTACTGTATGCATGATCCATGTGTGTATGACTGCTGACAGGTCATGTCAGGGATGGTTGTCCCCGATAAGAGACGCAGATACCCCAAGACAGAGCGCTTAATCCCAAGGGGTGTGTGTGTGTGTAAGTGTGTGTGTGTGTCCTTATCGCTCCTCTACATCAACCTGCCCACGTTCTCCGTCACGCGTATAATTGGTCTGATTAGAGTCTGATGAGAAAATACAGGTTTGATAATCAAGCAACACACGAAAACCCAATCCCCCATCACCAGATAGACTGAGACAGAGAAACAGAGAGAGAGAGAGAGAGAGAGAGAGAAGGGATGAAAACCATTATCGCAGCCAATGACAGGTAAATAAATAGATTAACAGAACACACACACAGACACTACCTCCATTCCTGCATAGACACACACATATCCTCACCATCCATCTATCCCAGGTATCACAGCTTGTATCTGGCCTGCTTGATAGTGTTGATCTAATTCCGACCTGTAGCAGCGCTCGTTTGTTTCACTGCCTCCGTAGATCTCCGCAGTCTATCAATCTCTCCCTCTTTCTCTACCTCTCCCTCTCTGACTTCCAAACCCGTCTCCATGTTTTTTCTTAACCTTTATTTACCCCAGGGATTGTTTTGAAGAGCATGCTTACTCTTTTTCAGCCCTGTCCTGCTTCAATATAAGTCTCTCTTTCTTCCCCCTCCACATTTTCTTACCTTTATTTATCTAAAGACGGGGTCTATTAAGCATGTGTGATTTACCTACTTTGCATTCATCCAAAACATCTGGGAGCTTTCTTGTGAAACTACTGTCTCTAAGTGATGGCCCCTGAACAACTTTAGGCATGGGTTAAGGGCTTTTCTCGAGGGTATTTCAACTGTAGCAACTTATATTGACTGTGTGCGCCTTGTCTGTAATCACTCCATATTTGTTACCTAATGCACCTTTTTATTATGTTTCTGCCATTTTATTTGAATTATTATTATTTTTTTTTAACTCAAAGGGTTTATACACTAAATAGTGCCCTAAAAGTTCCACAGTGGAACCAGACCTGTAGTGTCTGCAGCATGTACTAACTTTTGATTCACTTCTACAAGTTTATGACAGAAATGGAGAATTTCTGAGAGAAAAGACAAGAAGCTCACAATTGAGGATGTCCTGTTGTCCCAGGGCAGGAACAATAAAAATAGCACCTTGCACACAAAGATACAGTGTCCGGAACATTTTTGGGACAATGGGGAAATGTATCATTATCATGTATGCGTAATAGAATATATATCATTTTAATTGTTATGTGTCCAAATTCGTGCATTAGCACAAGGTCTATGTCACACATGCATTTATACACACAAAATGAATCATTGAGAGCCAGCGTTGCCAACATGGCATGGCTAAATTTAGCAACTTTTCAGATCCTCTTAGCGACCTTATCTGTTAAAAGTGACTAGCCACAATATTCTTATGACTTATTAAGATCGTCAGGGAAAAGGTGAATATAAATAAATTATATTGTAATTCATTCCCA